GGAAGTTTGGAGGGAAATGATAAGTGACTCCTAACTTGTACGGGATTTCTTTTCAGGTGATAAAAGTGTCCTAAAGTTGGTTGTACTGATGATTGCACAATTCTTTGAATATACGGAAAACCATAGAGTTGTACATTTTACATAGGTAAACTGATGATAAGTGAATTATATCTCAGTAAAGCTATTAAAAATATGCATGCAACATCTTTAAAAAATCAATTTTTTAGAGAGTGGTGTGCTAGTAAATATTTAACATTTGGTTCTTCAAGTGTAATTCTGACATGCAGGTAGTTGGTACTTTCATTCACATTGGCAAATGAGAGAGAAACATTGTAAATCTATGTCAGAACTTTATCAATTATGTAAGCAACTTATTTGCTGTATCACATTATAGTTTTTGGATAGTAGAGGAATTTTTTTAAAAGTTTGTGCTATTACCAGTGTAACAGCTATAAACATGATCCATAAGTGTAATCTATATTATTTATGTTTTCTCCATGTTGTTTTAAGTATAGGCAATCAACAAAACAATAAATCATAGCCTGATTCATAACATTTGGCAATTTATGGGGTACTGATGAATGGATAAACAAAATGTATCCATACAATAGAACAACAGTAAATACTGCCACCATGGCCAATTGCAAGCTACTAACATAATCTCACTAAACATGCAGTTGGGAAGATATGTGCAGTAATGCACTATTATATAGTATTTCCTCCATGTAAATACTATAGATGAATAATGTAGCAAAATAATTTGGGAGTTTTGAGTATCTAATTTTAATTTATTGCTTTTAATATAATAGACTTAATTGTAAGTTCTGTAATTTAATTTTTTATAATATATACTGTTAAACACAGTATAACTGTGTTTAACAACCTGCTTTCAGAATTTCTGAAAATGTAGTAATTGACTCTTATGAACTGGTACGAATTAGCTCCATCCTACCAATGAAATAGTATCTGAATGAGGAGGATCTGCATTTACAATGTTGAAGGCTACTTTACAGTATAAACTTAGCCTGTAAAGATAGGATGTAGACATGTAACCTTTAATTAGTGAAACTTTGAAAAGGGAAAATGCAAATACAAGAGATAGTAAGCAGGTTATTAATTATTTGAAATTATTTACTGAGTTCCTAATGTATTCAAAACACTGTAATGGATCCTGGTAACATATGAAAGTAAATGCAGTTATAATTTCTGCCTTTGGGGAATGAATGCTCTAGTTGCTGACTTAGACATGCAAAATAACCAAATATTATAAGGAATATATGATGGTAAAATACAGATATGTTCCAAGGGCTATGGGAGAAGAAAAGACTGAATGGTTGACTATTCTTAGAAAAGACAAGTCAGTCTTTTGGAGATGAAATTTGAGTTGGGACTTAACAGATGAAGAGTAGTATACTGGGTGGAAATGAGTAAACTTCAAAGCAAAGAATATAACCTTAAAAAGTATGAGACTATGAAGTGGATCCTGAATGGACGACTGCTAAGACTCAGAAGCTGAAAACCCATTCTGTAACTAGCATGTTCTGCTTCATCAGCCCAGGGTACAAACACCGTCTTATCATTTGTATCTTTCTATTCCTATTTCCTAATTGCATAAGTAATTTCCTAAATAAAATCAATCTTCCTCCTTGTCCTTATTAATCTCCATATGCCCTTACTGGATGGAGTGACTCACTGCCCCTCGGCCCCACCCTGAGTTTCCACCAATTCCTGGTTTTTATTCAACCTGAGAGGAAGGGATGAGTCTTTGATTCTTGCTTCAAACGCAGGTAATACATATCTGAGGTCCAAGGTCACAGCTCTCTAACTGACTCTCGTGTGATTAGCACCGTTTCATAAATGAACAGTACTAGCTGGACATATTTGTCCTCCCCAGCACTTGAGCAACTGGCTAGTTCCACATGTGAGCCTGACTTTACCTGGCCTTCTCTCAGGATTGACTGCACTGGGCTCCTAGTGCCTTTTGCTCAACGAAACAAATAGACGTACTTAAGAGAAACCACTCAAAAATCTCTTCACAGAACAGAATTCTGCTCAAGTTGACTTTCCATCCTGATTGTACTGAAAAACAGCTGGCAATTCCCATCTCTTTCTCTCTCTCTCATATACACAAAGTGATGCATGTAAATTATAAAAATAAAAAATACATTTCCCACCTTATCAGACTTCCTATTCAACCTCTGTTTTGAGAGGCTTCTTATTATCACACTGATAAAAAGTATAGAGATCTGCAGTCACTGCTCTCACCCAGGCTTTGTCTTATAAGAAATTATGTGGAAGTAATTCAGCCTTTACAGTGACTATTTCTTGTGTGATCCCAAAGTATTTTAAGATTCTGAATCCTTCTCGAGTCTCTCTGATCAAATCCCAGTTTTGTAAATTCAGCGATTATGTGATTTCTTTAGAAGGCACATCTGATTATGTCAGTCTCTGACTTGAAACCTTTCTCCAGTTCAGCATTGCCCTGAAATGGAATTTCCAAATCTTCAATTTGGCCTCCATGGAGCGCCAGGGCTGCCACTACTCCAACCTCATTCATGCTCTATTGTCCCCCTAATCCTTTGCCCACCCCCATGTCCCATGTACCCTTTAGTTTCAGCCACTCTGAAGTTTCTTACTTTCTCTGAAGTTCACTGGCATTCTCTCATTCGTTCTCTTTCCTCTCTGCCTAGAGTGCTTTTCTCTCTTTGCCTCCACCATCTCTGTTCCTTCCATGAATTCCACTCTCTGACCTACAGCAAGCCCAATCCAAGTCTGGATGGAGTTCCCCTAGGGGCCACCTAGACTTGGTGGTCAAAGACTACCTACAAGGGTACAGGAGTCATTTCCTAGGTGTGGCAGCACAAGGCCTGCAGGTGAGAAAAATGAAAAATTATGTCTTGGAAATTTACTTACCTGTGAACATAGAATTGTGACAAGAGCAGCAAATTCATGCCCCAATGAGGGATTCAACTGACTTCTCTACTAAGGAATGTCAGGCTGAGTTGCTAATGGCATGGTCAATAGTTGTGAGCCCCCATATTTAGAAAACTGAAATGGAATATTAAGTAATTGCTGGAGATTACTATTTATCTGTTCCAGTCATTAACTCCCACCTAAAAACTAAAACTGGATGCCTTAAAAGGCATGTTATATAAATTATTGATATATAAAATTTAATAACTCTTAAATGTGTGTTGATTCTGTTGGCATGTGATGTCGTTAATCATCATACCAGATAGTATTTTGAGATTTACTGTTGAATTCATGACGTCCTTGATACTGTAACAGTTGCATAAAAGCTAGTGCTCTTACAAAAATGTAAAAAAAAGAACATTGGACTTCAACTTGTTTTGTAACATTGGATTGACACTTCTCATAGAAATCTGCAATTGATTTCCAATCAATAAGATTGATATTCAATTATCCATTGTGTAATGTAAATATTCCCCATGGGAGGGGGATTCCATATTAAAATAGTTATATACAAAAGTTAATAATAAAAGAACCTACTTGGAGCTCCATTTTGCCTCTTAAAAGCTTGTAGACATTTTCTCGACTTGCCTTCCCTGGTCACTAATGTTGACTTTTGTATATAGAATCAAAGTCCATGAGGAATTGCTTTCATGGAGAACATGCAGACATAAGCAAAGATAAAAGGAGAAGGCTGTATCATGTCATCTTCTGAACATCAGAAGAATAAGAATTTATTTGTGAACTATTCTTACACATAATGGGTATAATTAAGATAATATTAATTTTATACAGTGAAAGTTTTCTTGTGGAACTTGGAGAATCGAGTGTACATATAGGTAAAGCCCATGCCAGGGCTTAGATAAGCACACCTAAGTTCTTCATGCTTTTATCTAGGTTTATGTTTGTAGAGTCACTCATGAACACACTGTTAACTCGTAGCTTAGCTTTGAGGCTTCCTTCCTTGCGCCATAAAGTCACAGAGTTGTCAGGGTCCTTTAGAATCTTCTCAGGATTTTATGGAAGGGAGAAAGCTTGCATGTGTCAGATGCCAACAAAACTGTTGCTGGGGCCTAGTTTGTGGCCCCTCATGTAGCACCCACCCTGAGAGTTCCCCTGACCCAGTCCAAGCTGGAGGAGGCCTCCCTTTCATTCCCCATTATCTAGCTCCACCTGGAGGCAGCAAGATCTTAATACTAGTATTTCTAGAATATTCAGCACTCTTATGTCTTGAGGAAACCTGGTGTTTGCAAAATGGCATAACCTTTCCAGAAATAAACCTTACTTTTGCAGGCATTAAATTCATTTCCACCTTTAATCAGGGACCCCCACTTACTTTTAGTAATCTACCAATCTGTATTCACAATTACCAAGGTCTCTCCCGAGCAGCGTATTGAAAGAAACTAATCTCCACAGTAGGGTCATTGATTTTACATCTAAAAAAAATCCCCAATACTTATTCTCGTGAGTTGTTCATTTGCTTTTTTAATGTGTGTTTCTACCTGCTACTGTGTTGGTTTCCTTAATTAAAATATTCCTTATGCAGAAAAAATATTTTTAAAACATTTTGGGGGGCATCCTGGATTTACAGCCCTTTTTTTACCCATCCAGACATTTTGTTCCCTTTCTGTTTCCCACATTCACGACTGAGAAACACCTTCTACCTGCCTTATAAAATCTTATCATTATGAACGTTATCTACCCTTGATGTCATGCTTTGCGAATGGCATACCACCTCTGTCAATATCTAATTATGTGAAAACATCAGGCAAGCCTAAATGGAAGAACCTTCCGTAAACAGCTGACCAGTCTTCAAAATCTTATAAATAACTCTTATTCCATTAAATAAGCTGTCAAAAGCACACATTCTATAAATTTGACAAAGGTTAATAATACCTGGAAAGATATTATTTTAGATGTTTCATTAAATCCATGAAATGATTAAAATGTTACCTGCCAGTTTGCCAAAAATAAGAGTGTGCAAACAGTTATATAACATATTTCTGTCACTTCTCTCCATAGGTGACTCAGCTAATCTAACCTGCAGAGCTTTCTTTGGGTATAGCGGAGATGTCAGTCCTCTAATTTACTGGATGAAGGGAGAGAAGTTTATTGAAGATCTGGATGAAAATCGAGTTTGGGAAAGTGACATCAGGTAGAGTATTTTTTTCTTTTAACTTGTATAGTCCATATTAATATTTGCTTTGTTAGTGACTAGCAAGTCAGCTAAAAGAAAAGAAGGGCTTTTTTTATGTTTGTTCTATTCTTATAATAAAAAAAATTCTCAACACTTAATAGCAAACAGGCAAAACACTGTTATGGGGTTAGCTGTGGAATTGCAAAACATGAATGTCATTTGCAAAGAATTTAAGGGAAATAGAAAAGAATTTTAAACTAAGGAAGATAGTGAGTGTGAGACCAAAATACCATCAAATATGGAAAATGTAGTATTGTGCCATTTGTTTGGAAGAGCTCTTTTTTAATTTTTGAGAGGAAATATTAAGGTACTAGGTCTCAACCACACACAATTTCTTTCACTTCTTTTGTAACTTTTTACATATATCAGTTATCAAGTAGTCTGTAAAGCACTCGAGAAGGAATGATAAAGGATACACAAAATGTTTTTATTACCTCCTTTAGTCTGACTTTAAGGCCTAAATATTAATATAGTGGGAATGACAGGAAATAGCTATTCCAAATACCATCTGTTTTGAGGGCCTCATGCTTAAAATTAAGCCTGTTTTAAAAATATTATTCATTTCTTAGTTCATTTACTTTAAAGTTTTGAGGTATTCACTTATGACTAAAATTATGCTTGGACATAGATATGATTTTTAATCATAATGCAAATAAGCAAGCATATTAATAATGATTAAGTTATAACTGAATCAAAATGCTGGTCATGTGTAAACATTTTCCCATTTAAAGATCACATTTCTGGGTATATATGAGCATTTTTTTTATATATATGAGCATTTTGAGACTTGATCAAAGGTGGAAGAGAAAAAGGTTTTCAGTAGAAAATAAAAACATACAAAACTGTCATATAAGGTTATTTCTACTGGGATCTTCTTCCTGGCAATGAACACACAAGAGTATTACGCTCCAACTGGGTTCTGAAATGCTCAGATGGGCAGTTATCCAGTATGTACTAAAACGTTGCTCTGCTGTTTTTCATATTTACAACTTCGCTATTATCTTTTTACCCATTCATTTTGCAAGGCTAAAGTTAAGGAAAGACAATAAGCCTCCTAACTTTTACCCTTTCTCTTTCTTGTGGGTGCTCAGGAAAGGTTCTTGAAAGGCATTTTTCTTTAATTCTACATTAGGAAGGGTTGTGCAGAGATGAATTTCCAAACAGATGGGAGGGTGGAGGTGGAAACATTGCAAGCAGGGAAGGGAACCCTGCTTTTAAGTTTTCCATTTGCTCTGAAAGATTGCAAAAAATCTTTGACAGTGAGGTTGCTAAGTGTTTACCATTAATTTTAAATGTCAGAATTAAACACTTCATCAGAACATTTAGTCTACAGGTTTATAATTTTGTATTTCTTTAAAAAGAGGCAATTGATTTGTGTCATTTTTAAAAAAACAGGCTGGAGGTTTCAACTGAAATGTCAAAATAGCTCAGAAATTTTCTACACTTCCCTTTGCACATTAACCTGCCGTATTAGTCCTGCAGCCTAAGGCATTAGAATTTCTTACCTCACCTTTACATCATATTTCTTCTTAAAGGGAAAGCAATTTGTAAACTTCTTCAAGGTCTCTCTCACCTCTTTATTAGGACAGTGTGATTGTCCTGCTAAGAGAGATAATTAACTGCAACTTCATTAGCATCTACAAACACAAGGTCCTCTTTAGAAGTGAAGAAGAAAAGGGCATGATATCATTTAATTAAGATAGCATCAATCCATAGCCAAGTTTCAAGCACAGATTCTATAGGTATTTTCACATCAGATTCAGATGCATCTCATTTGTTTTCTTTTTCGTGTATGTGTATGTTTGTGTGGGACTTTTTTGTTTCGTTTTGCTTTGTATTTTAGAATTCTCAAGGAGCATCTTGGGGAACAGGAAGTTTCCATCTCGTTAATTGTGGACTCAGTAGAGGAAGGTGACTTGGGAAATTACTCCTGTTACGTTGAAAATGGGAATGGACGTCGGCATGCCAGCGTTCTCCTTCACAAACGCGGTGAGTGAAACCTTCTAAGTTTGAGTGGTTGACTGAATCTCTAATAGAAGAGAAATAATTGGGAACCAAAAAAATTGCATTTTTGTTTTCTATGCAAATGTATCCTCAATAAAATAATCACAGTGGCATTAGGGCCGCCAAGGCAGATAACACAGGGGATGGGTGCCTAGGCTCAGGCTCTAGAGTCAAATTTGGATTCCTAGCTCTGCTTCAATGTCAACTGTATATCCTGGACCGTGGAACCTGACTCCCATATATGGAATGAGGAACTAATAGTATCAATCTTCGGTGTGTTCTAAGGATGAAAGAAGACAAGAAATGTGAAGAGATTGGCACAGAGCCTATACACAGTGTTGGGGAGGAAGAAATTTCCTCTACCCTTCCAGGTTCTTCTAACTGATCTAAGAATCAAACTGACATGAGACAGATTAACAAGAAAAAAAGAAAGTTTAATTATGTATGTAGACATGAGATTCCAAAGACAGGGAGAATGAAGAATATATATGTCATCCTGACCTAAGGAGAAGGAAGTAGGGGGCTGGGACTTTAAAGGGAAAGGGAAGCAATTCACAGGAATATGAAAGAGTATATGTTTGGGAAACAATGTTTGTTGGGCCACACAGAAGCAATGAGACATAGAGAGGGATTTTAACAATCTAGCTTTGCCACATCCCTAACTGTCTACCACACCTAGTTCATATTATAAAGTAGTTATCTAAGGTGATAGCTCTCTTGCTGCAAACTGATTAAAAATAATCAAAAGAGTTTTAAGTCAAAGACTGTGCTTCTTATTGAAAGGTTGTTCCTTTAGTGTAAGAATATGTCTCATGGATTCCCTACGGCAGTACTTTGTGGCCTTTTTTTCTGCCTTGGATAACTTTTTCATATGTAATATCCTCCCATGATTAATATAATTAATTAATTTATTTATTTATTATTCAGTAATGAATTGTTATCCAATTGTTACTCATCAATAATAATTCAAGTAAAACAGGTTTTGCTTGAATGCACCTGCTGCATTAAATCTCATTCCACAGCAGCCCCAACCCCTTACACATGGAGTTAAAATATATATAAATATATATTGAATTATTTGAAATTAGACAATTGTAAAATTTGAGCCATGCTTTTTAGTTGGTGAAATTTTTCATGTGCATTACAAGAGAAAAATATGTTTTTTCTATATTATGCTAAGTGAAAATTGTTGAGTTTTTGGAACAAGTACACTTGATGTTCTCTTAGCAAATGTACGAGGATTTTAACCTTGAAGCACATATTTAATCCTACACTCTTTGAAGTTGGAAAAGAATGTTGAAGACTGTTCCTCCCACTTCATTGGGCAATAGATTCCCTTTGAATAATGTTACTGAAAAGTATTAAAGCAGACACCTCTGTTGTCAAGATGACTAAAATATTAAAATAATGTATTTTTTGGCTGTGTGAGTTAGAGGGGAAAGGTATGCAGCAGCTAGCAATATTATTGTTTCTTTCCCTAGTTTAATATCTATATTCAGTCAGTGAAGATATTTAAAGTAGAAATATTATGTATATGAAAGGACAAAAATAGCTTTTCAGGGTTGGAAGCAGCTTAAATGTTGTATATTTTAACTACATCTTCCCAAGTGATCTATAATTTATACGAGATTATATTCCCTCTCAAGGAAGCCAGTTTCTATCTTTGGAAAACCAATTAGAAAGCATTCCTGTTTCACTGTTTACCCCTTGACCCCAGTTCTACACTTTTAATCTCTCTTTCCCAAAACAGCCCTTCAAAAGTTTGATGACGGTCACCACGATCCTTCTGTGCCTTTACTTCCCTAGGTTCAGCATCTTTAATTCCTTGTATTCGTTCTTCCTTTGTGTGGATAAAACATTTTCACCATTCTGGTCACTTTCTTGAATATGCTTTAAATTAAGGAGTCTGAATTATTCTGCAAGTGGACAGAAGATTTATGGCACATATAAAAACCTGTTGACTTGGACAGCATATATTTCTTTTTAGGACAAAGTAGGAATGACAGTTAAGTAGCAATAACATGGAGAGAGGGGAAGGAAAATGAGTTGTATCTAAGGAGGATATGGCTATTATAGCCCTGTCCTGGCAGACCATCATGCAGCCAGGAAGGGTCAAACACCCCCAGGGTATTTTTAGCATGTGTGACTTAAGGTCAGGTTGCCTGTAACTACGATAGCTTCCAAAATGTTTCCCAATACTATCTGATTCCCTAACAATGAACAAGAAAATGTAGCCAATATTAGAACACTCGTCAATACTTATATTTTCCACAGTGGCTTTCAAATATGTATTTATACCAACAGCATTTTATTCTTAATAAAATGAAAGCATTAAGTAGCTAAAAAGAGTCCTTCAAGGTCATGGCCTCCAAAAGTCCCTCCTAAAGTTAGCATGTGCCTTCCTTTTCAGGGACCTGCAGTAAATGAGTCATCAATTCAGAAAGGCAGCATGCATGTAATCTCCTGCCCTTAAGAGGCTTACAGTCATATAGAATGACCTATCCCAACCCTCTTTGGGAAAAAAGGACTTTGGTTAACATAAGGCAAACCTTCAACTTCACCAGCCCTGCAAGGTTTGGGAGGTCAGGGCACGGCACATAGAAGCTGATAATTTGGGTCTTTGATCATAGGGTCCCTGAAAGAGTCAAATTGCTGTCATGTGAGCAATTATGTAATTATCAAATGAGTTGCTATATTACTCAAAAGACTAAAGTTCAGAAGGAACTGGAAGCTGTCCCATTAATCATATTTTCTACCATTGACTTATAAATCCTTTATCTTACAGGCCTTCAAAGTCTTCCTTTTTAAGCCTCCCTAGACAGATATGTTAAAGCATTTGATGCATACAGATCCTATAAACCAGAAACTATCAGTTCTCATGACAGGTAAACTTGCCAGGACGCACTTTTGCCAAAGTTACTTAAGCGTTTTTTTCCTCTTAGTGTTATCTTTTGTTTAGTGTGTTGACAATAAACATTATGTTAAAGCCCTGCATGGGTGGTATATGTGATGCCAGGGTTCTTGTTCATGAAGCCGAAGAATGAGCTTCACAAACACTCAAAGTAGGAGAGCAAGGTACAGGCTTTTATTTAGAAATAAAGTGAGAGAACAGAGCTCCTGGCTCACACCAGGAGGGGACAAGAGAGCCCCTAGTGGTGCGTTGTCTAGGGGGTTTTGCAGGCAGCTGAGGATTTTTTGAGAACGTCAAAAAGAAGGCTTAGGGGTGTGGACTTGTACCACCTGCCCTGTCCTCAAGGTAGGCTGGGTCATAGTGTGGTTGCTGGCGCTGACAGCGGAGTCACGGGTTATGCTGATACCCTTGCAGAACACTCAGACATTCCAGGCCAAGTTGCTCCTGGTCTTTTGACCTTTAACTGATCTCACTGAAGATGTCTATGTTCTTAGGTATCTTTCCCTAGAGAATTAGTGTGACCTTGACTTTGCATAATGCTTAGCACAGAGTTTCAATAGGGACTTCTTTGCCCATTGTTACATTGCTCTGACAGTAAATATTCCACCCTGCTTTTCCCAGAGGCCCTCACCCTACTCCAACTACACCCATGCTCCCTGTCTCATATGTAGAGGCGGAAAAATTTCCCTTCTTCCCTTCTAGGTTCTTTGGCTGGTCTAGTGATTAAATTGAGACAGGACAGATTAACAGGAAAAAAACAAATTTAATTTTGTACCTATTTAACTCAAAGGCAGGTTGGGCAGTTGAGGCTTATCTGCCATCCTGAGCTCAGGGGTGGGACAGGAGCCTGGGGCTTAAAGGGGAGGAGGGTGATTCACAGGACCATAAGAAGAGCAGATATTTGATAATTAGATGTTTGCCCTGCCATTCAGACAGGTCTTTCAGATAAAAGTTATCTCTTAGTAATAGCTGTCTGTCTGGACCAGGCCCCCTTAACCTAAATTCTTTTAAGTAGTTAAGGAAGAAGTAAAGGTATTTCTTAAGTCTGTTGAGCCTTGGTAGCCTTCAACTAAAAATAATCCACATGCCAAAGCGATACATTTCAGGGTGACAAAACCTGCTCCCCTTCTTATGGATTCTCTGAGACATTACTCACATATATCAAATGAGTCTTCCTTAAAGCCAAGAGGATACTACAATAAATAATTCACCTAGGATTAAGCTAGGCTGGATTCTGGGCCAGCCTTTTATCTTTAAAAAAAATCTTAATTTCACAAAATCTGGCTGAAAATTTACCAGGAAATTTGACCATAGAAAAGGTTTCTATGAGGATATTTCAAGTTGTTGATTCCGGCAGCCAGGGAAGGTACTTGGACAATTGGGATCATATCAGACCTGCAATATAGATACATTTTTGAGTACTCTACAAAGAACTAGATTATGCAGTGAAAGAAAGACAAAGAATGAAGGGGTAAGGGCCATGGGGCCAGTGCCTTACCCCTCCTTCCTCACTCTAGCCCCTGGCCCAGAAAGCTTGTAAGTGAGGCCCTTGCTTCAAAAAGAACCAAAGAGAAAAGATGACACATTCACTACTGTATGAATTTCTTGTTTCCAGTATTGTCTCAATTGAATTCCATGTTGAAGTCTCTAAATCTTTTACCCACCTGCCTTTGCTTGGGTTTCTGAATGCTCCTGCCTGACTTAACATGCATCAAATATATATCTTCAGTTTCCCTCCAAAGCCCTGACTTTTCTTATTCCCTCCATTTTTTAGGTTTTCCATTTCCTTGACACAAACAGCTCTCCAGATGTATACTCAGCAGCATTTTGCTCTGGTCTCAGGCCCACTGACTCTCGCACCCACTAGGCAGTCCTAAATTTCTTCTTCATGCTCTGTTTTTCATCCATACTGTAACTCTGGATGAGCTCACAATGTGGTCATGTTTACTATCTGGAGCAAAGTAATTGAATGGTTAAGGGTGTAGATTCTGGAGCAAGGCTGTCTGTTCAAAACTCCACAGTGCTTAATCTGTACTTAGTCAGTGATTAAATCTGTGCTTAATCTCTGCTAACC